CATAAGATGACTAGAGAAATTGATTATGACCAAATTTAAAAAGGACAAAACGGTAACTTTAATATTTTAACATAAAATAGTTAAAAAAAAAAAAAGGCAAACAGAAGAGAACTATTCATCATTATCTTCCTCCCATTCCCCCTCCCCAAACCAAATCAGGGGATTAGAGAGATCATAGAATCTATTTCTAGTTTTCTTCATTTTGATGAGCATTGGTAAGAGCATTGCGGATGCAGGAACCATGACATCTGATTTGTCAAAAAGCAGCAGCGCCATCAGATCTATTTTTGTAATTCTGGACAGGAAAAGCAAGATTGATCCTGACAACCCTGAAGGTTCCAAGATTTAAACAACGGTAAGTGGCAAGATAGAATTAAAGAGTGTTTTCTTTTCCTATCCATCAAGGCCCCGAACAAATGATATTCCAAGGTCTCAGTCTCAAGATTGAAGCTGGAAAAATAGTGGCACTTGTAGGACAGAGCGGTTCTGGAAAATCCACAGTTTTGGGATTAATTGAAAGATTCTATGATCCAATACAAGGATCAGATCTAATATACGATTATTTCAGGGCCTCAACTCCAAGCATTTCAGGGCCACTGTTTTGGGATTAATTGAATTATTCTATGAGCAAAACTACCTTAGAAACCCGAGCATTTCATTGCCTCGACCCCTTGATTTGGTTTGGGTTTGGTGGGTTAGGGTGGGATGGATGGAGAGGGGGAGGGGAATGGGAGGAAGATAATGAACATTTCTCTTCTTTTTTCCTTTTTTTTTTAACTATTTTATGTTAAAATAGCAAAGTTACCGTTTTGTCCTTTTTAAATTTGATCAAAATCAATTTCTCTAGTCAACTAATGGTCGAACCCATCCATTGGTCCTTGCGCTACAACAAAATGAAAAGTTTGGGACCTCCGGTGGTACAAATTAAAGGTTAAGGTAAAATTTGTTAAAAATTGAAAGATTTGGGACCGTTGCTACAATTTTTCCTAGAATATTTGGCATTACATATTTGACTATAACAAATTGTGAATTGCGGCTTGGTTCCTTAGGACTATACGCTAAACATTTAAATTGCGACCAAAGGTTGGAAAAGTGTGTCGCATAGTTGAAGATAATCTCACCATTTTGATTTTTTTGTAAATGAGACTTCTCACTTCTATGATAAACAACTGTGGTCACATCTTGTCGTGTTCAAATGGTAGCTATTCTATTGCGGAGGTTAAATACGTTTAAGCATTCGTCACGTGACAAATTGCCGTGACCATTAAAATTATGAAAGTAAAAAATGTCTGTGATTAATATGTTGCGACATGTGGTATGTTGTTGCCAGTATTAGACATCATTGACGTATCACAATATCAAATGTAATGTGATCTAGTGTAACTACTAACTGGTGACCTCTGTAGTGTTGATTTGTGAAAGATTTCAATCTACATGGTATGAAAAAGTAACACAACATGTAAATTGTTGCAATTGTAGAACCGTACCAAAAATATAAAGCAAATCATTGAAACAAAAGTTTCAATTATCTGAATTAATTAATTTCCCCAAATATCTAATTTTTCAAGTTATTTATTTGTGACCTGTTTTGTCAAAAGTAATAATTAGTGATATGGTTAAACCTAATTTTCTCATTTTAAAAAGTCATAAATTTGAATCCATAAATAGAAAGATATGGACAAATTTGAGTCCAAGTGTGTCTCCTATTTAGTTGCTAAAGTTATAAGAATGAGTGATGAATAAATGAGTAATAGCCATGAATCTTACAACTATTATACATGTTAAATAATGAAGAAAAATGTTTTCTTACTCTTGTGACTTGAGAGTAATGTACACAGTACATGGTTGTTCCCAATACAAAATGTTTGTCTGGTTTGAAGTTTGAAATTTGTTCACTCGGGACATGGACAGTTGAACTACTATGTAGTACTATGTAATATTTAAGAATGTACTTTTTGGGAACGGTGAACTAGAAAGAAAACCACATTAGTCTAAAATTCGGAATAAAATGGAATACTTTTACTATCATTGAATCGACATGTATATTAAATAGGTAGAACTTTTTATTTAATTTAAATTTATACGTAAATAAATAATACACACGTCAATTTAATAATTACGATTGTACGCATAAAAATTTTTCACCAAAATTAGTTGGTTTATAATATTAATAATAACAAGACCTGAAACGGAAATAAACATGTCATTAAGATAAAAAGAGGATTAGAATTGACAAAATATTCTAGGAAATATGGACCAACATAGTGTGAATAATTCAACGTTAAAACTTTCACACCTTGTTTAATTCACAAAATATTATTAAGCTTGAAATTTTCTTCTCTATCGATTTGTTTCCGTGTTGCCGTTAACATTCTCTCTCAAAATAAGTGTAATTTTACGATTCGCCTCGGCAAGCGTATAATATTCTTGTTGAGTACTTAGTCCCAATACTGAGTTTTCGTATCATTCTTTTACTAACTTATACCCAATATTATTACACCCTCAACAATATAATGATTCGTTCTTAATTATTTACTTTCATGTTGTGTAAAGGCTATGATGCGTAAATTTAAATAGTGCTTATGTTTCACTTCACCTCTCACTTTTCATAAGATTCGAATTTAAACACAAATACATACTACAACAGAAATTTGGCTTCTAAAAATTAAACTAAACCACCAAGCTATAAACATAAATAATACAAAAAAATATCACACACAATGAAATGAAAGTTGTTATTCTTCTAACGAAAAGGACAATGAATAACATAAAAATGATTGTTTCAATACAAAAATAAATTGCATATTTATTTATACAGAGTCTCGAAAAAAATTAAAGTTAGCTGAAAACAATAAATGAAGAAAATGACAATGACTGGATTGTAAAGTGGCAATCAAACTTTGATTAAGTGAATAAATAAACAACACTGTAAAGCACTTTTTGTGCATCAAAAGAATGAAAAACTTTTGAAAATAATGGTTTGATCAAAGCAGGCCCGTGCCAACAGTGAATACTAATGGACAGATTTGCCACAGCTGTACCCAACAAATTCTGATTCCTTATTTATCTTCTCTTCTTAATTTATTTATACAGTAAGATGACCCTTGAAATTTGCAGCATGTTTATACTCGTGCAGCAGTGCTCACGAGTTAGTATTCAAGAAAATGCTGACCGAAAAAGGAATCATAACAATTCAACATGACTTGATTTACATCTCTCAAATAATCTCATTTCTTGAAATACTTCAACAGTAGAAATCATCTACTCATGTTAAATAATAGTGACTTGATACATCAATTAATTAGTGAAGAAGATCATAGTAGATCCTCAAAAATGAATGATCCATCAATTAATTGATCATTTCTCAACATAAATTTTTTTTTCCAATGACATCGTGTTAGAAATGATGCATTGCATATTCATAATTTCGATTGCCTTGCTAAGACTCTGGATTTATTTATTTGTTTTCCTTTTTTGTTGATATAGCATAAAAATGTACCCAATCTATAAGTATTATTTCTATGTGTCATCAATTCATTAGATTATTTAATTCAATAAGAATTTTGCAAATAAACATACAACTAAATTATTTTCTAATCTTTAACTTATCAGAGGCAATATGATCATAGGACACAAAGGTTGTCTGTATACTGTTGGCAAATATATGACATATTGATGGATGACTTTGATTGCATTAGGCAACAATATAGTGGTCTTATCCTGAGTTTGCCCTACCAATTAGGAAGTATCAAGTATATGTATTCATTACCTTTTGAAAATGTGCAAGCGGACTATAAGAGCAAATTTGACGTGTAATTGTTTCATTTACGACGTTATTTAAAATCAAAATATTCACATAATTTCGTCATTTTTTTCTCAAAAACTCCTTTGAAGTGTAAGTATGCATTAGCTTTTAAGATATGCAAGCCGATCACAAGACATGTTTTCTCATAATCTTGAAATTTAATTTCAAATTATTTATTCGCATACTTCATTTCGTCTCAAAAATGTACATCGAAGTATGAGTATGCATTAGTTTTTTAACATGTGCAATTAGATAATAGAAGCAAGTATGAAGTGTAGAATTTTCATTCACATAAAGTTAAATTTATAATAATTATTTGGTTTTGTCCCTTTCTCAGAAACTTAGGGCATACCACTTTTTGCTATTTTTAGGCCATTTTCTGTTTCCAAAAATACTGAAAAACGCGTTTACTTACCTATTTTCAGAAACGAATTTTAAAAAACGAGTTTAAAATTTATAAAGAAAATGAAAAGCGTGAAGAAGTCGTTTTGACTGTTTTCTATTAATAAATTCGGTTGAATGCGTTGAAATATGCTGAGACATGCTTCATTTCTAGGATACTGAGGTTATAAAAAAAGATTCTAAAAATTTCAAAGTAAATGCGTTTTCCAGTTTTCTGTTTTGAGAAATAGTTTTCCAGAATGACAAAGAACGTATTTTCAACAATTTCAAAATAGAAATTCAAATCATAAAACTGAAAATGAATTTAAAACTAAAAACTGAAACATAAAGAGAACAACCCCTTAACTTTCGAAAATGTGCAAGTTGATTACAAGAGAAAATTTGACTTGTAAAATTTTCATTTACGATAAAATCTAAGATTCTAAATTCATAATATTTATTTGTTTACATCTCTCTCTCTCTCTCTCTAAACCTTGAATATTAAGGAGACGAGATGATTATTTTTTATAATCATTAATCTTAATCATCCTTTGAAAATCAAAAGAAAAACACTTAACATATTTCATAATGAAACTATCATAATTGATTGTTTCCCAAAACCAAAAAAATTAAACTTCCAATTGAAGAAACGAACTACTCGTGAACACGTGTTGGCATGATCAAGATTCACATTATTGGCAATCCATTTACGCTCCGTTTGACATCCTTCAAATTTAAAATACATTGTTTTGAATAATATTTTTTGAAAAATGTGATGTTTAAAAGTAAGAAAAAATTTTGGATTTACGTATAAAATATTTTATTGTGTGAATGCGTGATTGAAGATAAATATTAAAAATAAATTAATTGAAGTGTCAAACAGGGGCTACCAGCTTACTCGATTTTTATATAGTCCGTGACCTAATTATGGCAAATAATTTAATTTCTCTTCTTTGCAACATTATAATCAAGTTTTGAGTGTGCAAGTGCGCTAAAAACCTATAAAATAGTGAGTTTGGTGATTAGTTGGCTATCATATTTGGGTAAAATATCGTGCTGGTATAGAATGTTTCTTCAAAGTCTATGACTACATTGTAGTGAATGTTTGACGGATAGTAGTCCTCGAACTATGTGCCTCACGAATAGTTCTCGAATGAGAAATTCTATTTGTACATAAGAGGTTGACAACCTCTCACATGCGTGCGGGGTACGCATATTTAAAAAATTCAACAAAAAAAAAAAAGTGAATCCCCCCATGTGAAAGGTTATCAACCTCTTATGTACAAATAGCATGGCTTTGAATGAATAATTCCCACAATCACCATACTGGTGATCCCTGTATGGGGAATTTTTTTTTTTTTTTTTAATTTTGTTTTGGCGAAAACCAATGAAGTTCTGCCATATGTTATCTGTGAAAAATATTCT